TCCCGGAGACTACATGAAAAACTATGCATTCGAGAACGAAATATGAAAACACCCTCAGAGAGTGCTGATACCTAGCGTCAAGCTAGAAAATGGAACAATTATAACTCCTCTGTTCAACTTCTATTTGGAACTTGGCCTGCAGTGCACCAAAAATTACCGTTTTTATTCTCCTCATAAAAATTCACAAACTTTCTTCAATCAGTGGTTGATGCTAGAATAGGAGAAAATGAAAACACTCCATCAGGAGTTGTAGCAAAAACAATGCAAGTTTTGGGCAATCACTCCTGTGGATAACAGATCATGCATAGATCCATGCACACAATCACCAAAATCTCATTGATGATACGATTCATAAGGCAGTCAAACTGAACACCACACTCAACACTGTTCAACAGACTGAACACAACTGAGAAAGACTTGTATGAGTGGGACTTGTTGAAAATTCAACAACTGGTGTGATCTAAGAGTTGGAGTTGAACACAGACTTGCTTTACTTAGCTCTTGCTGAAGAAAATTTACACGATTGTATCAAGCAGATAAGAGAACCATTTGGGAAAAATGAGGAAAAACGACTGCAGTGATTCTTTCAAGGCAGATGCAAAATCTAGTTTCTTCACTCAAACGTGTTACAGTACCCATAACAAGAACAAAAAACGGGAGACGCGATTTTCTAAAGAGGTATATACATCTACAGAAATGATATGTTTGTGTGGCAATATTTATTGCTGCTATGACAACAAGTCATGAAATTCAATTCCAGTAAAATTCTGGAGTTCGAGCCATGCCAAAGTACACGAGAGTACTCAATGAAACAGTCAACCTCACAACCACAAACAGAAAAACCAGAGCTGTAAATCATAAGTTCAATGAGATGGAATTCATGCAATCATTGATCCTATAAAAACTTTTTTTTCTGTGGTAAAATTGTATATGACGTCGTAGATTTTTTAAAAAAGATTAGTAGTTGCAGTAATGCGAAACTATTTCAAGTTATTCGATGAAATGAAAACTCAAATTGTTAAAATCAGATGATTTTTGGGGTTTTTCAACATGCACAATACTTGTTCTCATCATTTCAAACACAATTGTCATTGCAACTGATTTCCAACCCATCTTATTTTCATGTTCAAATACTTTATCGGCAATCACCTAGTTTATATATTTTTTTAGAAAAACCCAACCGCATTTGAGATTGAACAACGTCAAGCTACAAAATTGGCCATCCCTTGTGCTGTACACTGTACTAATGCGGCCTGGAAAGTTGAGCACTTTTACTTGATGTATACTAGCCACGTATACTAGTTATTGTTGTTTCCAACATAGCTTCATCTTAAAGTATTTTTGCATTGACATCAATCAGTGATATTGAACAATTCTTACAGGAAATCAGAAATTAGTTCGAATTAAAAAAGAAGCTGTTATTTCGAACAGAAAAAAAACGCGTGTTCGATTTTAACGTTTTCTGAATTAAAATGAAATTCTTTATAAATTCACAATTATTGAGTTTTCAATTTTCAAACTGAATTGCTGGGAACAAATAATTTTTTGCAAATAAAGATGGACTGCTGATTTTCATAATGATCATTTTAACACGTATTTCAACAATTTTGGTAATTTGATGGAGAGGAGATTTCAAAAAACATGATGCTGCCAGTTTTACACAGTGTTTTCATTTACGAGGTTTGACTCAGATTGAATGGCTGACAAATAAAAATCGAACCAAGGGAATAACACCTAAACCATTCTACTCGAAACAACAAAACGGGATGTCATTTGACCGTCAATGTCGAAATGGGACGAACTTCGCCTCCACACGATAAAAACAGGCGTAATTCGACTCAATAATTAGAATCAGATAACTTTTGACTCAAAAAGACGACAAATGGCATCCCTCATCTAAGTGAACTTGACAAAGTCAAAGCTGTTTCAAAAAGGAAAACTGATACCGGTGAATCCAAAAACTCAAAAACTAATTCATAGTGCTTCAAAAACAAAACGCGAAATTATTTGGTTAAAAAAAGAACTCAGTGGATTCAAAGAGTTGATCATTTGTTACAAAAACATACAAATGGACCCATTCAGGGCAAAACTACGGGTTAAAACGGTGAAAACGGTGAAAAAGTGACGGGTAAAAGGTGAAAACGGACAAAATTGTTCAAAACTACAAAAAAAACTAAGTGACCTCATTCCATTAAAAAAGTTGAAAACAGAATAAATGGGTTCACAAAAAAATGGGCAAAACACTCATTTGCAAAATAAAATTTAAAAAAACGAAACATTTAAAACGGAAATCTCCCGACTCAAAAAATATCAAAAAAAAAACAAAATATAAAACAAAAATGCAAAAGGGTTCATATTCTTGCGTATCAGAAAAACAAAAACTTAGTACTGTGTTACTTAAAGGTTGAAAACAGAGTTAATCTACGCAAAACGTCAAACCGATTATCATTTACGGACATCACTGAACTCGAGAACTCAAAAATACATCAGTTGATGCAAATTCTTGAAAACGGACGCTTTTAGCTTTTAAAAGCTCAATGTGGACATAATTTGACCAAATATTTGAATGCAACATCACTCAGATCAAAATTTAAAGGCTTGAAAAACTGAAAAGAACCGTTAATCAGATCAAAAAATTTTAAAAAAAAAGTACCAAATTGCTAAAAATAAAAAATCTATGGATCAGAAAATCGAAAATGCATGACATGATTGGCTCAATAAATTATTATCGATAGTCAATGACGCAAAAAGAAACATTACTTGACCCTAAAAGTCAAAAACAAAGCAAATCATTGATTAATCACTAAAGCCTGGGATGTCTGGTAAAAATAGTCTAATTGGAACTAAATTTTCAATCTAAAGTTATCAGGAATAGAATTTTATTTACACAATTTTAAAAAAAGGCCAAATGTTAGAAAACGGAATTACGTCAATCATACAATCAAAAAATGGACATACCTCGACGCAACTAGTCAAAAAAGGGTCGTACAATTTTGTACAATTCTTTAGATACAAAAAAAATTAAGAAAATTCTAGGACAAACATTTTTTCATATATGGATATTGTAGGACAAGCATTTTTTCATAAACCAAAAAGGTATTTTTTTCTGAAAGTTCATTTCTCAAAATTTTTGGGATGTGTTCGTGACCGAACACAAGTGACTAAAACCATGTTTTCCTCACCTAGAATCACCAAAGGGTTGATCGCCTGGCATTTACAATGCATTGGAAATGACTTGAATTGTGTAAGAGTTCTCTACAAAAATCAAATATTGAATGCATCAAACTTTTAAACTTTGGCAAAAATTTTCAAAGATGATTATTTTTAAAATTAGAATTTTCAAATTATCAGGCATTGATCAGGGCATATAAAAACATCCCATAGAAAATAGTAGGAATTTTTGGCTGTTTCCAAATATTATTCAGAGAAACGGTTTCAAAAAACCCAAGTTTTGTGTATCCTGGACTACGTTATGCAGACAAAAAAATAATTTGCAGGCAAAATTTTTTTTGGAAAATGTTGGTTTGTGTACAAAGTTCAATTTGCGGTTGAAAAAATAAATGGGGCAATTTCAACTTTACTTCAAAAATAAAAAAAAAACTGTTTTCATTAACAAAAAAATGCCAGTGATACAATTTTCATTTACGGAAATTGTATGATAACTTTTTTTCTCAAAAAAAAAGAAAATAGTTTTTTCTCGTCACCAGATTGTTTAATTTGGTTCAAACAGCCGCAGAAACTAGTTCGAAACTTTTTTCAATGATTTTTTGAAAATAAATGAAAAAATTTATGACTAGCGTTTTTCCATACACTTGTTGTTAGGAATTATATGATAAGCATTTTCGGCGTATGGAATTGTAAGATAAGCATTTTCGGTTTATGGAGGTCAACCCGGGAAGCCGAGAAAAGATCAATTTACGCAAAACATTGGAAGCTGACATCAGTCAACCAAAACAATTCAAAGCAGACAGACATATTTGGACCGGTAAGTTAGAAACGGAAGTCATTTAGTTCAAAATTTAAAAACGGATATCATCTGACACAGAAATAAAAACCAGATATTATTTGGCACAAAGTTGAAAGCAGACACCGTTTCACTGAAAAACGCAAGTGGATATCACTCGGCTGAAAAGTCGCAAGCAGACCTCATCATTCGAATCTACTCAGCGAGTCACAAATGGAAATCATTTGACTCGAAGTATTTGACCGAAAATTATGAAAAAAGACATTATCAAATTTTAAAAGACAAAAAAATATTTTGGCTTTTCTAAGTCAGATAATGCCCTTTTCAATTTTTGTCGGTCAAATACTCCTAATTTTTGAACCTTTGAGTCAAATGATTTCCATCATATGGCGCATAAATCCGAACAAGGACATCATTCAACTCAAAAAAGTCAAAAAATGACATTATTTGACTGTTTGGATTGAAGCAAGCGCGGATCTACGACTTTTTCGAGGGGGGGGGGGGGGATTTTCAAAAAAAAATGGAAATTTAGTCGACCTTTCTTTTAGGTCGACCAAATCAATTTTTGATTTTCTGAGCTCTCCCAAACCACTATAAAGACTCTGTTTTGGCCAAAATTTCTGCGCCGCAGGCAAACTTTTGAAAAACAGGCCAAAAATAGCGTTACAAAAAATAATTACAATGAGGAAAATCTTCAGTGGGTTTTGGGTACATCGATTCATCTGTATGCTTCTTATATAAAAATGAAATATCCGCATTTTTCACAATGTCGCAACTTGTCGACAGACTTACATAGTTCGACGTCGTCGCAACTTTGGCGACGGATTCAATTCCACTCAAATCAAAATAAACATTTGATCTAGGTAACTTCGTAGTTTGAAATCTTCATATGTATCAGAAAGTAAACTGTGGCGTGTGTTGCAACATGCTATAGTTTGTTTTCTGATATCTATACTCTTATCGCATGTTTACTTTGATTTAGGGTTCTTTCAAAGGGAGATTGAGAGTCCTTCATTGTCACAAATTAAACCTGTTCACCAGCGGATCAGTTGATCATTTTCACTCTGTTCAATTCGGTCAAATATCACAACAAATTACCCAAAATGCGGTCAAAAATAGGCCTCACATTTTTGGCTCTGTCTTTTTTTGCTGTTTGCTCTGCGAGATCCGCAAACTCCACAGGAGCTCGTTTTTCATACGTGTCGACCTACTACGAGACATCAGCAGAAATGCCATCGAAACTGAAACTAGCGATTAGTAATAGAACTAACTTTGCGTTTGTGTCTGAACTTGGAGAACACAGACCGCAGGGACTCGACGTCTCGGCTGCATATGAGAGGATCACACAGAACATCATGGACATCGTAAGTTAACAAGCCGCATGTTCAATATCTATTTTGAACTAGTCGACACCATTTAAAAATTCAATGAAGATAAAGGAAAAAATTTCGGAATTTTCGAGCGGGAGGCGGCTCTAAATTAAAAGAATAAGTAATCGATTATAGTTTAATCAATGCAAAAATCAATGCAAAAATTAATCAATGCAAAAAAAAGCCATTATAATCTGTAAAAAATCAAATATAATCAGGATCGAATATACGATTTCATCGAGGGGGAGGTGGCCATTTTGTAAAAATTTGTCGACATTTTTTCGACATTTTTTCAGAGCTCTGCCAATCACTATAGGGACCCTAATTTGACCAAACTTTCTGTGCTGCAGGCATTTTTGGGCACTTTTTGGAATTTTTTGACCAAAATAAAGCGTTTTTTGGCGCGCACTTCTCCCTCAAAATTAGGCGCCTTTAGAAAAATTTTAGGGTCAGTCTGACAAAATGGATGTCTGGAATTATTATCAAAAAGGGCGACCCTTTATATTGGAAAGTGGTCAAATCCTTGAAAAAGAAGCAATTGGTTTCCTAAATCCAGAAAAACAGCGGAAATTTTTAAAATCTGTTTGTAACTTTTTAACAAGTCGTCAAATTTCTCTGTAAAGTTGTATCTCCTATTGTTTTTTTTATCAGAAGTCAGAAAGGTTATTCGGCAGCACTCAACACTTGGAAGAAAATGACAGTCTGGTCAAATACCTTGCACATATGTTTCAATTTGGAAAACACACACCAGACTGGGTCAATATATCTGCATATGAGACCACCAGAAGCAACCTGATCGATGTCGTAAGTTGATATGCCTCAAATTACGAGTCCAAATTGTACCTAGCGCAATGGGATCTCTTTAACCTACCCCATCCCTTTTTACCTACCGGGGTCGAGGTTGCTGTATTATGATCAGAAGGTTGCGACCGCCGCGACCAAATCGAAGGTTCGTGAACGCCACCACCACGGCCGCGACCAGATTAGAAGGTTCGTGACTGCCGCGATCAAATGAAAACTAACCGCAACCCGCACAATCAAGGGAAAATTAACCCCAACCCGCACGACCACAGAAATTTTAACCGCGACCGGCACAATCAAAGAAAATCAACAGCGACCGGCGCGACCAAATGAAAAGCAACTCGAACCCGCGCGATCAAAGGAAAGTTAAACCCAACCCGCACGACCAAAAGAAAGTTAACCGCGACCGGCACAATCAAAGAAAATTAACCGCGACCGGCGCGACCAAATGAAAAGTAACTCCAACCCGCGCAATCAAAGGAAAGTTAACCCCAACCCGCGCGAGCAAAGGAAAATTAACGCCAGCCCGCGCGACCAAAGGAAAGTTAACCGCGGCCAGGGCGACCGAAAGAAAATTAACGCCAACCCGCGCGACCAAGGGAAAGGTAACCGCGACCGAAGAAAAGTTTACGGCATTTGGGGGAATGTTTTGACTGAAACTGACAAAGGTAAAAATTTGAAATCCGCGATGTGGAACGAGTTGTGTTTGCCGATGATCTTTGAAACCGCAATCAATGGATAGATAACCGCGACCGGCGCGACCAAATGAAACTTGATTCCAACCCGGCGACCAAAAAAAGACCGGCACAATTAAAAAAACAATCGCGACGGGCGCAACCAAATGAAAATTCACTCCAACCCGCGCGACCAAAGGAAAGTTAACCGCGATCGGCGCGACCAATTGAAACTTAACTCCAACCCGCGCGACCAAATGAAATTTAATGCCAATCCGCGCGACCAAAGGAACGTTTACCGCGACCGATGTAACTAAAGGAGAGTTAACCCCAACACGCGCGGCCAAAGGAAAATTAACCGCGACCGGTGCACTCAAAGGAAAGTTAACCACGATCGGCACGACCAATTGAAAATTAACTCCAACCCGCGCGACCAAATGAAATTTAATGCCAACCCGCGCGACCAAATGAAAATTTACCGCGACCGGTGCAACTAAAGGAAAGTTAACCGCGATCGGCACGACCAATTGAAAACTAACTCCAACCCGCGCGACCGAAAGAAAATTAACGCCAACCCTCGCGACCAAGGGAAAGGTAACCGCGACCGAAGAAAAGTTTACGGCATTTGGGGGAATGTTTTGACTAAAACTGACAAAGGTAAAAATTTGAAATCCGCGATGTGGAACGAGTTGTGTTTGCCGATGGTCTTTGAAACCGCAATCAATGGATAGATAACCGCGACCGGCGCGACCAATTGAAACTTAACTCCAAACCGCGCGACCAAATGAAATTTAATGCCAATCCGCGCGACCAAAGGAACGTTTACCGCGACCGATGTAACTAAAGGAGAGTTAACCCCAACACGCGCGGCCAAAGGAAAATTAACCGCGACCGGTGCACTCAAAGGAAAGTTAACCACGATCGGCACGACCAATTGAAAATTAACTCCAACCCGCGCGACCAAATGAAATTTAATGCCAACCCGCAGAACCAAATGAAAGTTTACCGCGACCGGTGCAACTAAAGGAAAGTTAACCAGGATCGGCACGACCAATTGAAAATTAACTCCAACCCGCGCGACCGAAAGAAAATTAACGCCAACCCTCGCGACCAAGGGAAAGGTAACCGCGACCGAAGAAAATTTTACGGCATTTGGGGGAATGTTTTGACTGAAACTGACAAAGGTAAAAGTTTGAAATCCGCGATGTGGAACGAGTTGTGTTTGCCGATGGTCTTTGTAACCGCAATCAAAGAAAGATAAATGCGACCGGCGCGACCAAATGAAACTTGACTCCAACCCGGCGACCAAAAGAAAGACCGGCACAATAAAAAAATAATCGCGACCGGCGCAACCAAATGATATATAACTCCAACCCGCGCTACCAAAGGAAAATTAGCCGCGACTGGTGCACTCAAAGGAAATATAACCACGATCGGCGCGGCCAATTGAAACTTAACTCCAACCCGCGCGACCAAATGAAATTTAATGCCAACCCGCGCGACCAAAGGAACGTTTACCGCGACCGGCGTAACTAAAGGAGAGTTAACCCCAACATGCGCGACGAAAGCAAAATTAACCGCGACCGGTGCACTCAAAGGAAAGTTAACCACGATCGGCACGACCAATTGAAAATTAACTCCAACCCGCGCGACCAAATGAAATTTAATGCCAAACCGCGCAACCAAATGAAAATTTACCGCGACCGGTGCAACTAAAGGAAAGTTAACCATGATCGGCACGACCAATTGAAAATTAACTCCAACCCGCGCGACCGAAAGAAAATTAACGCCAACCCTCGCGACCAAGGGAAAGGTAACCGCGACCGAAGAAAAGTTTACGGCATTTGGGGGAATGTTTTGACTGAAACTGACAAAGGTAAAAATTTGAAATCCGCGATGTGGAACGAGTTGTGTTTGCCGATGGTCTTTGAAACCGCAATCAAAGGAAAGATAACCGCGACCGGCGCGACCAAATGAAACTTAACTCCAACCCGCGCGACCAAATGAAATTTAATGCCAATCCGCGCGACCAAAGGAACGTTTACCGCGACCGATGTAACTAAAGGAGAGTTAACCCCAACACGCGCGGCCAAAAGAAAATTAACCGCGACCGGTGCACTCAAAGGAAAGTTAACCACGATCGGCACGACCAATTGAAAATTAACTCCAACCCGCGCGACCAAATGAAATTTAATGCCAACCCGCGCGACCAAATGAAAATTTACCGCGACCGGTGCAACTTAAGGAAAGTTAACCACGATCGGCACGACCAATTGAAAATTAACTCCAACCCGCGCGACCGAAAGAAAATTAACGCCAACCCTCGCGACCAAGGGAAAGGTAACCGCGACCAAAGAAAAGTTTACGGCATTTGGGGGAATGTTTTGACTGAAACTGACAAAGGGAAAAATTTGAAATCCGCGATGTGGAACAAGTTGTGTTTGCCGATGGTCTTTGAAACCGCAATCAAAGGAAAGATAACCGCGACCGGCGCGACCAAATGAAACTTGACTTCAACCCGGCGACCAAAAGAAAGACCGGCACAATAAAAAAACAATCGCGACCGGCGCAACCAAATGAAATATAACTCCAACCCGCGCTACCAAAGGAAAGTTAACCGCGACTGGTGCACTCAAAGGAAATATAACCACGATCGGCGCGGCCAATTGAAACTTAACTCCAACCCGCGCGACCAAATGAAATTTAATGCCAACCCGCGCGACCAAAGGAACGTTTACCGCGACCGATGTAACTAAAGGAGAGTTAACCCCAACACGCGCGGCCAAAGGAAAATTAACCGCGACCGGTGCACTCAAAGGAAAGTTAACCACGATCGGCACGACCAATTGAAAATTAACTCCAACCCGCGCGACCAAATGAAATTTAATGCCAACCCGCGCGACCAAATGAAAATTTACCGCGACCGGTGCAACTAAAGGAAAGTTAACCGCGACTTGTGCGACCAAATAAATATTAACTCCATCCCACGCGTTCAAATCAAAGTTAACCCCAACGCGCGCAGCCGAATGAAAATTACCCGCAACCCGCGCAATCATAGAAAAAATAACCGCGACCGGCGCCACCAAATGAAAATTAACTCCCACGCGGCGACCAAAGGAAAGTCAACAGCGACCGGCGTAATCAAAGAAAAGTTAACTGCGACCGGCGCGACCAAATGAAAATTATCTCCGACCCGCGTGACCAAAGGAATTTAACCCCAACTAGCGCGACCAAGAAAAAAATGACCGCGACCGGCGCAACCAAATGAAACTTGGTTCCAACCCGGCGACCAAAAAAAGACCAGCACAATAAAAAAAACAGTCGCGACGGGCGCAACCAAATGAAAATTCACTCCAACCCGCGCGACCAAAGGAAAGTTAACCGCGATCGGCGCGACCAATTGAAACTTAACTCCAACCCGCGCGACCAAATGAAATTTAATGCCAATCCGCGCGACCAAAGGAACGTTTACCGCGACCGATGTAACTAAAGGAGAGTTAACCCCAACACGCGCGGCCAAAGGAAAATTAACCGCGACCGGTGCACTCAAAGGAAAGTTAACCACGATCGGCACGACCAATTGAAAATTAACTCCAACCCGCGCGACCAAATGAAATTTAATGCCAACCCGCGCGACCAAAGGAACGTTTACCGCGACCGATGCAACTAAAGGAAAGTTAACCGCGATCGGGAACGATTTGTGTTTGCTGATGGTCTTTGAACCCTGAGCCACTTTGTACCGGGTGAAGATCCAAGTACTATTAGTTAGGTACGGACGATCGATCGCCGGTGACGTTTACCCACGCTGCAGTTCCTCCAATAGTTTCTCTCTGAAACACATTGCTCACAGCCCCACCATCCCAGCTTCCCTCAACTTTCTCGCCGCTTATAGCTTTTTTTAAGCAACCAAAAATAGCATAAGGATACTTATACAACCTCCAAATTTAGTCTTATGTCATTTGATTCTCGGAAAAACACCAATGTTTGTTTTGAAAGTTTTGATGTCTGACAAATTCTATTTTAAACAAACGAGTTACTGCAAACAGCTCACATCAAGTTCAAAATTGAAGTGCTGCTTTACCTATCTACGATTTAGAATTTTTGGATTTTTTTTTCCAATTTTTTTTTGTTCTAAACATGCTAGTCATGCAATTTTCATATATGGAAATTGTATAACTAGTATTTTTTTCAGGAAAAATATTTAAAAAATTGAAGTTTCAAGCTGTAGCAGCACAAATAACGCTTAAATGTTTTTCCAGCAGTTGAATTGATTGTTCAACCTTTTTTTCACAAAAAAAGTTTTGAAAAAAAAATGCTAGTCATACAATT